AACCAAGACATCGGGCAGGCTGTGCATGAAGAAATGTCTCCATAGCACTTTGATGACCACCTCTGCTGTGGTGGTGGTCATGAGGACTCCCTTGAGCCATTTTGAGTATGCATCCACTACTATGAGGAAAGTTTGCCCATGCATGGGGCCTGCAAAATCTATGTGCACCCTAGACCAGGGTGCCTTTGGCCTCTCCCATTCCTGCACAGGCACCTCTGCAGAAGCTGGTCGGGATTCCTGACACGGTGTGCAAGTTGGCACCCACTCTGCGATCTCCCCATCCATGTTAGGCCACGACACATAACTCTTAACCAATGCTTTCATCCGGACAATCCCCGGATGCCCCACATGCAATGCATTCAATACTGAAACTCTCAGTTTGGGTGTCAGGCCTGCAGCCGGTTCCTTTTAGGATCTTTGGCCTGCCACACTCTCTATTATTTTACTATGCTTTTTCATTAGTGGGGAATTGGGAGGGGGAATAGTAAGGAGTAGAATGTGTTGTCAAAATAAAAAATTCCTTTCAAGAAGGCCAAGGTTATCTTTTGTTCTCTACACCTCTGAGCCTGACCGGAACTGGATGGGTGGAACTGCCAGCGTGGCAGTGGAAGATTGGACCATGTGATAGACTTGTGGGTGTGGGAGCAAGATCATGAACTTTCAACTGGGTGGTGAAACCCAGGAAGCTTTCAGATTTGGGTTTTCCACAGATGTACCAACATGTCTCTATTAATAAATTGGAACTTTAAGGAAAGCTCTGCCTTGGATTCTGATTTAATTTTGGATGATATTTGGAACCCTGACATTAGGTGGAACAATCACCCAGTCCCCCCCCCCTCCACAGTAGACACAGCAGACAATTTGTTTTGTTTCAAAACAAACAGTTTAAATTCAGCCCCAACCGGCCCTTTGGGCCACCCCCTCCACTCCCAGCTCAGAAGCTGAGCAATTGTCCTGTCTTTTGTGGACTGTCTTGCTATTTTGCTGGATTTTACAGGGCCAGTGGCTTCAGTTCTGCCCCAGGTCCATTTGGCTTTCTTCCCCAAAAGTCGAGGCAAAGGTTCCATTATAGTTGCCTTCTGTTGCAAGAAGACGCTGTAAAAATTAAGAAGGCCAAGGAATACCTGTAGCTCAGTCTGGTTGTGAGGTGTGGGGGCGTCCTGAATAGCCTTAATTTTTGAATTTGTGGGGTGTATCCGGGAGCTGTCTACCAGGTACCTTAGAAATTCAACCGTGGGCACCGCAATTTGGCATTTCTCCTTTTTTACGAGAAGGCCCTTTTGCCTAAATCTATTTAAGACAATCCTCAAATGATTGAAGAGTTGTTCCTTATTTGCAGCAGATACCAGGACATTGTCAAAGTAAGGGACTACTCCTGGTATGCCCTGTAAAAGTTGTTCCATGGCACTTTGCAACAATCCTGGTGCTACGCTGACTCCAAATTGTAGCCTATTACATCTGAATGCACCCCTATGCGTCATGATGGTTTGANAGAAGAAGAAAACTTAATCCATTCATTTTAAAAGGCTTGCATAAATTCCATCCATGAAAATAGCATTTAAAAAGTAAGACAACCCACTGTCCAAAACCATTCAAAGCTTAATTCCGCTGCTTATTTCCTCTGTTCTCAAATTTAAATTAACTTTAAGTATTTTATAGGCAGTCTTTTTTAAAACAGTAAAAATTCCTCACCAGCTGAAAACACTTTCTCTTTCCGTATCCTTCCATTTCGGAGCTGCCTCAACTTCATCAGCCTAGAGGCTGTGCTTTTGTCGCCAGCTAGAAGAACTTCTCCTGGATCGATCAGGGGCTTTGCGATGTCCCTGAGATCAGCAGGACATATTCTTCCCGTTCACTGTCTCTGCGGGACGGTTTAGGTCCGTTTGGACCACCCAGCCGCAAAAGTATCGGCGGTGATCTCAGAGCATTGAGATCGTACGTTGTCTCATCGTGACGTTGGCTCCTCCTCGTGTTTGAGTTATTTCTGGTTGTCTAAGAACGGAGTGGTTGAGTCGGCCTCAGAGTTGGTTGATGTGCCTTCTCCAGCTTCTACCGTTCTCGAGCTCTAGTCTGTAAGACCGAGGGTCAGTGATTTCAACAATTGTGGCAGGAACCCAGAGAGCACCCCCAGCATAGTTGTGGGTGTATACTTGATCCTCTATGCTAAATGACTGGAGTTGACTGGTCAAATTGATTGGCGTCTTGGCAGAATAGTTAGGGTGTAGCCGGTCTAAGGGGGACCTTAGTCGGCGACCCATTAAGAGTTTGGAGGGACTTCTTCCTGTAGTTGCACTTGGCCTGATGTGCTGTACGAGGAGAAATTTATCAATGAGTGTTTGCCAATCACCTGGGCTCATCCTAGATAGGGCTTCTTTGGTGGATCACACCATTCTTTCCACCTGGCCGTTGCTGGCTGGGTAGAAAGGAGTAACCAGGGCAGTGGTGGGTTTCAATTTTTTTAGAACCTCTTCTGTAGGTGTGGCCTGCTTTGTGGGAGTGGTTTGCTGGCCATGTGACTGGGTGGGAGTGGCTTGACAGTCATGTGACTGGGTGAGCATGGCCAACTTGTAAAATGTGGTGAAACTCACTTAACCATGCTCTTGCTTAGCAACCAAAATGTTGGCTCAGAAAC